GTGGTTTCTTTAGAAGTCCCTCTGTTAAAAATGACATTTGACAGAGATATACTGTATATATTTGCATAGGTGCAAAGGCAGCCAGAGAACGGCTTAACTAATAAATCCCTGTCACGCGCTCTGTACATTTCAGTTTGCTCTGTAGTTTTCCAAGGTATCAGGTAGCAACTTCAGTGATCTACTTCGACTGTGTAATATGGGTTTTCCCTTTCTTGCATTACAACTAAATCAGCTTTTTCCAAACGAATGTGTCAGTTTTACATGTGTTCTGCCTCCAACTGGATTACCCTACAAGAGTAGTGTTGAATTAGGCTGTCCTGTAGGAGCAACACACCATCAGTGTGAGAAGGCACTCAATATTCATTTCTGGGACCAGATGAGTTTATTACAAGAGAATGTAGTGTGTATGATGGTGCAAAGATAAAGACTGTCATTTTTAAAAACCCTACGAAAGGAGCAGGGAATGGGCAATAGTTCTTAGTCAAAGTGGTTGGTGAGGGTGACAGGACAGGTTACTGTGATGCATTGCCACGCTTCTTCCCTCTATTGTTAAATGTACGTGGTCTGAACAGACAGTGTCCCTCTGAAACCACAAGCAAACTGAACACATCCATACAGTAGGTGCTACAGAAACAGTGCATGCTGGATGCAGACCACTTTTTCATTCGCTTAATTGTTGGAGCTGGTCGTCATAAGAGAGATCTCTGAAAAAATAAAGCAATTTAAAACAAAAATGAATGGCTTCACATGCATGTTTCCTGGTGGAAAACATAATTTCTTGTGTGAATGGGTGTTAAATGTGAAAGAACATTTTTTTAGCAATACACTCAAATGTTTGGACCTATTTCCAGTCTTTAAATTTGTACAGAATTGATCAATCCTCTTTGCAATTGACAGGTTATGAAAGGACCGATAAAGACAAATTAAGTCTTTTACACTTTTACTTATATAAATGGCCTATAAAAATGACAGCTTTTTGGTCCAGCAATTACAAAGATAAGTAGCGATCAAAGATGCGATTTGTAAGAGCTGGAAATATGCTGTACTTCTAATAATAATGAGAAAATATGAGTCAAAAAGTTTGTTATATGAACTTAAACAAAATATACATTTTACAAGCATCCCAGATATTTCATTTCATTTCAGAATATCCATAATTAAGCCAGGTAGGTTAATCTAGAATGTGTCTGGACATTATTCATGTAATGTGTTGAAAAAGGTGTTGCAAACGACTCCCCTCGGGACTCTTTGAACAGGAATGTGAACTGATTTATGAAAAGTACAAATGCACAAGTAAGCATCAAAATATTTTTCAGTTTCAGTGGAAGCTTTCTTGTAAATTGAGGACACTACGACAAAACAATAATTAGTATAATTAGGATAATTAGTCAGGAAACAAAAGAAGAAGAAAATATTTTTGCTAGTCTGATCTGGAGGCTAAGTGAGCATTAATATACAGTACTGTTCAGAAATAGATGAGTAGTCATTTAAAAGAGAAAAATAATCTTGAAAGGTACAGGACAGAAGGGATACTGCATCTATTGAATGATTTGTTGTTTCAGACAAGATTTACAATGGTACAATGGTACTAACCTAACAGTCCATGCACCAGTAGAGACACATGCTGTTACCATCCATACATTTTCTAACCGGTACATCCACTTTAGGATCGCAGGGGAACCGGAGCCTATCCCAGCAAGCAAGAGGCACAAGGCAGGATGGGACGCCAGTACACACACTCACACCCAGGTCAAGTTTCCAAGAACCCAATTAACCTACCAGTACGACTTTGGACTGTCGGAGGAAACCAGAACACTCGCAGGAAAACCGCGCAAACACAGGGAGAACATACAAACTCCACACAGATAGCACCCCAGGTCTGGATTTGAACCCGGGCCATCACCAATGCTAACTATTGCGCCATGTGCTGTTCCCCAAATGCTAAATTGTCGCACAGTGCAGCAACTAGCTCAAGGTATTTGGCAGCTCTTTGATCTCTCACCAGTTTGCCAACCTGCTGTCTTTCTTTTTCAGCTCAATCCACTAGCCAGCCAGGCAGCAGCAGCGGCCGCAGCAGCAGCTATGGGATCCATAGCCAGCTCACAAGCCTTCGGCAGTGCCCTGTCTGGGCTTCAAGGAGTCACAGGGCAGCTCGTCACCAATGCACAAGGACAGGTGGGTGGGAGCAGCACTCCTGACACAACCTTGCCCATCTGTGTGTGGATTCCATGTGCCAATCATCACCCCTCTCATCCTGGCTCATTTCTTTGACCGCAGATTGTCATCAGAACCCGAGCTTGAAAAGTGCACTTCAGGATTTGAAATTTAAATCACGTGATCTTTTGCACTGGCTGGAATCTCTGTTACACTTTGTGTTTCAGGAGTGGAGGAGCAGAAATTGGTTAAGCTGCTTTAAAATCATAAAGCTTGTCTGCTGTATGTTAGGTGCCCAAACAGTGCTGCTCAAGAGGAAGAAATATAACTGGCTTTTTAAAAATTCTGCTAAATGGGAGCCTGCAATGTGACACAATTAACAACATGAAAGTGGTTCATGTTTGCAGATGTTTAGCCCAGATTCAGCTGTTCGAGAGAGTTCGATAGTCCAATGATGTTGGACAGTGTTAGTCTTATCCTTAGCCCTCTTGAGTTTATCAGGATCCATTCCTGTACTCACTTCAGAACTGTGTTCATATATGAAGACTAGAAAACTTCTAGTCACTTCTTTCAGTCATTTTTTTTTAATTTGCAAAACTATCTGTTCCTTCCTGTGTTATATCATGGTTAAAGTAAAAATATAGTAAAGAATATTATAATATGGTAGAAACACAAGTCAAGGATGATAAAGCATCACCTAGAAAAAAGTGCAAAAATAGCACAGTAATGTACAATGTAAGGGAATACTTCCAGTTACTTTCTGGTTCTGGCTGCTTTTAGAACCTTCGCAAAATTGTATTGGTGAAGATGATTGAACTGCTACCCAAATTTGACAAACTTTATTCTGTTTAGTTCTGATTTTTCTCTTAGTGTTGTGACAAAAATGCATTTACACTTCTTGTCTCACTGTACATTACAAGCGAGTATCCTTTATATGAGAAAGGGGACAGTTTTGAATATTGTCTCCTAAGCTAGCTGAGCAAACACGTTTTAGTGGGGCGCATTAGTTCATGGACCACTTAACAGATGGCTTACCAAAATGTATGTTACAGAGACAAAGACCAAGTTTCGTAGACAACAATTTTGAAAAACTTGAACTGATAGCATGGGCTCACAATGGTTGAAAAAGAATTAATGTTCAGAGTTGTTGATTTTTTATTCACACACTTTAATTTGAAAGCAGGAGTGGTATTTCTAGGAATGCAGCAGTTATATTTGGAGCATGTTAAACTCCACAAGAATAAACAAAACCTTACTTCCTCCTAACTCTGTGAGGCTCAGTAAAACGCTGACCTTGTCATATTTACAGGGTGGGTGCAGAATTGTTCCATCAGTACCCAGAGGCTTGAACGATGATGCTTGTCAGAGTGAGGCCTTATCTAATGAATCATCTTATCGCAGGTGCACACAACACATATTAAAGGAAGATTGTATGGACAATGTGCCCTCTACACCAACCCCTATGCTATTTACCTTAACCCTTGTTTCATCACAGTTTCATCAAGAGTATCTTCTTTATAACAATCTTCAAATAATGGTGTGAGAAATAGGTTCAGCTGCTCTCTATTTACAGAAAAAGAAACATATATACAGTTTACATATCACATTGTATATTTCATAATTCTAAAAACATTTTTATCATACCAGTAAATTTTGTGCAATTCCAATTTATTACAGTAGCGTTTTCAACAATCTACTTCTATTTAAAAATATTTATACTATGTATACATGTTTTTTTAATTATTTGATCCCTGACATAGTATTATAATGTCACATTACAATTTTATGATTAAAATAAAAAAATTATGCCTAAAATTAAATTTTAAAATAATAGTAAACCTTAGTGTTGTATCAAAATATATTTAACTAGATATATCTTAACACAATAACTGATTAAAATATCAATTCATATTTAGTTTAATTTAGAGCTGGCCATTTAGATATGATATAATCTATAGTCAATTTGATGCATTTTTAAATTGTTATTCTGATTGCTTTGATTTGCATTATATAATTCTCCATATCTCCATATCATGTAATTCAAAAGTAAACCAAAGCCAATTACTTGTAAACTCAACTGTACATCTCAGTATGAATATTTTTATGTTTAGATAATGTACAACAACAACAATAGAAGATATTCCAGTCACATTTTAAAAATCCCAAAGGGTTATCTTCTGGGAAAAGCAAATGTAAGAAGGAACATCTATTCATTTGCGATGTTTGGAAGTGTCAAAACATTGCCAGAGAATAAAGGAAGAATTTTACCCTTGCTTCAAAAAGCAATAGGATGTTCTCAACTATGATAACAAACTAAATTAGGGGAACTTTCTGAATTTTGCCTGACCTTGTAAATAGTGACTCACACCTTGATGTTTGCTGCATGAAAATTCACTGAATTTAAAGCTGTTTACCTAATGTACTCAATAGTATCTATTAGTCATGAAAATATAAACCCCATAGGCATGGGGAAGCACAACATACCAGCTATTACATAAAGGTGGCTTTAGATATCTACTTGTGATACGTGATATTATGCACAAGTACCAAAGGACTCTAAGTGTCTGCTGATCCACTTAAGCAATAAAATGTACATGTTCACTGCTGTGGTTGGTGCATAATTCAAGACAAAGAGCTTGTGTGTTTGGCCCTTTGAGCTTCTTGAAGCTAAATGGTGCTAATGAGGCTAGATGGATCCTGTGCTTTCAACAAGCCTGCAGCAGTAAGAATGATTATTCTGGAGATGGATGTGATGGGATGCTCTTGCTTTTGTAGTGTCTTGGCGGCTGACACTCTCTGACATAATCAGGTCACTGAGACGGTCAAAGCCTACAGCGAAAGCCTTTGCTCCATTCCTCATTATTAGGGTACATTATTCAATCTCAGGCCTTCAGAAATACATATCACATTAAAAGATACATCATGCAATAAGTAAATAAATGAAACTCAGGAAACTGCTGCCCCTTCACACCCAATAAGAAAAAAGGCTAAATAATTCAGTTATCTTTAATTTCCCTACATTTATTTTATATCTAGTGTCTAGGAGGAGAGGCCACAGTCATATAAAATAAAATGGAAATTTGGGGTAAAAACAAAAAACTGAATTTAGTCCCTAAAATATCACCAAGTCATTTATAGTATATTTCAACAGGAGCAATACACAAAACTCACATTCACCACTTTGGGTTTTATTTAAGTTAGTAGAATATTGTAGCACTTGTATTGTATTTGATTACCTTATAGCTTATATAGATTGATTGGCTTTTTTTACCTTTAGCAAAAGGAATCTAAGTATGAAAGAAAAAATTGTGTCTTAAGCTCCATGATTAGAACTTTTTAAAAATGCCTTGAATGTGCTTCTTGCTTAACTTCCTCTGGAACCTGTCTGAATTCAGAGTGCATCTGATAAGTGGTATAAATCAATTACAGTACTTATGCCACCAAAACACTAATATTTAATGTATCTGTAACTTTCCTATAAAGGCTGATTCCTTATAATTTTGCATTTTATCAGAAGAACGACCTCCCTCCTGATACTCCTTGTATACTCCTGTCCTGAAAATTAGCCCTGTGTAAACTATGAACATTCTTTGCATAAAAAGTCAAACATCACATGCCAAAGTTTGTTCTGGAGACTTTTTTAGATGTCAGAAATCTGCAATAGTTTTAATGAGAATTTTTTTTTCTTAAAAAGTGTTAGCCATCAGTAGTTGCCAGTACCAAATTTCTATATTTTCTATTTTAACATGCTGTAGATTAAAAGGCACAACAGCACTGTATATTGCTACAAATAAGAAAATAGAGAAAAAAAGAAAAAAAGACTGAGAGGGTTAATCAATTATTAAAATAAATAATCATAACCCCCAAGCTTTTGCCAAGAATATACAGAGCGATTAGTATAACTACTACAAACTAAACACAAAATAAACATACAACATACAAGGTACACTACTCACTAACAAGGTGTCTTGTCTGCTTCCTGGCCTACCAGAAAAACGCCAACTGCTATCGAGCATTCAAATCTTATAACACCTCACAGGCCCAAGAATAGAGACAAACCTGCCTTCTGCATCCAACACAATACAACCTAGAGTTAAATCTCTCTCTCTCGATAAACCGATACAAAGTGAATGGGTAATCTACAGTATCTCCTTAATCCACAAATGCATCCAATAACTAGGAGAGGCCGTTTTTTAACCTACGGATTCTCTATGCAGCAGAACGGAAAGTTCTCTTAATGTGGTCCAAATACTTCACTTGAATTTGGTCTTCAAGGCTGATCGGAAGAAGGACCTCCCACCTCCACTGTCCTTTCTCTTCTCTCCTTTCCTTCCATCTCTCTGCTACTTCTATTCTCTGTCTTTCTGTCAGCTACCTGATTGTTTTTATTCTCTGTTCCTCAACTGTTGATGGCTCTCAATCATTTACCCAGAACTTAATCAACCAACGTAGACTAGGTGATTCCTTTAAACAGTGTGCCTCTTTGAACATTGTGTCTCTCACCCTCTTCCACTCAGCAAACACCCCAGTTCCAGTTTTTGAGACAGTTCAAATAGCCACTTTCAAAAACTGTAACAATATCATATTAGATTCCTTTTTACCAGAATTCGTTTAGTGAAATAATGGCCTAAGCATAATTGTAAGCATAACTGTATCTCAGAACAGAGATACTGTACGATGGAGGTCCATGTTTAAGATGTTGGCTATTTAACAAGACCGAGATGTCAGAGTGGTGATTTTGCCCTTTTTAGTTATGAGAACATTCTTATAAAATCATGTTGAAGTCTAAAAAACACATTCTTTCTGTATACGTTTTAAGAAAAAGAAACAACTTTATTCTGATGTTGCTTTATGTTAGAGAAGTGAGGGATTGGTGATAGTACTGTACAGTACGTGCTGTACATGCTGTGAAAAATTTGGTTTACTTTAAACTTGGTTGACCTTAAAGAGGTTTACATCTTTGATCTGGTTCTGATCACCCTCTTTAGACATAATTAATTATCTGTATTCCTACACATGGA